TCTAAAGAACGAGGGGATGTGCAGGCCTGTAAGGGAGCCTGAGGGAACCGCCGGACAGGGAGAGTATTGGAGCTGCGGGCAACTACAGGACCGGAGGAAGGGTCTGCAAAAGCAACTACAGCCGGAGCGGCAAGCGGCGTAAGCGTAGTGGAGTCGTGAAACAAGCACCGGGAAGCACCGGAGTCCAGGGTGAAGGAGAGCGCAGCAACAGCGACCGAGGCCAGAGGAGCGAGGGTGGACCCTAGGCTTAACAAGGCAGGGGATCCTACGCCTGACACAGCAGGGGAGCCTGAAATAGGCACACTGGGCACACCTACGCTAGGTAACACAGGGTAATAGGAACCAGTCACACTAGAGTCATCAACATACATAGCATACAAAGCAGAGCTAATCTCATCCATGTCCATATCAAAGATATGAACCTGATGACGGAGCAGACTGTGCCAGTCTGGGAGGTCAGGCGACGAGCCAAAGCGGAGACGAAACAGGTCGTCTAGGCGACGAAAGGAACAAGCGGGGGTATGGCCGATCTTACCGCACACGAGGCCGCGGCGAGGACCGGTCTGGAGCTGGTACTGGCAGTGCCCGTCACTCTAGCCGCCACCCGACGGCACACCGCGCGAGCGACCATTGCGACCACCGTCACCTCCAGCTCCAGGCCACCTGGGCGGGAGACGACCGACCCGCCGCTGCTGATCCAGCTTTGGCGCCTGCTGCTGCTGCTAGTCCAGCTTTGGCGCCTGCTGCTGCTGCGTCGGGGCACCAGCCCCAGCCCCCTCGTCAGGACTACCAGCAGGCGAGCCACCTCCACCACCGGCAACCACCCCTCCTCCCGCTACCTCCGCCGTGCCAGCCTTGGGGCGGCGACCCTTACCCGGATGAAACTACACGGCGGCGGCGGTCTCCACAGCCGGAGCCGTCTCAACAAACGCAGCAGAACCGTCGAAGTAAGAGCATAGAGCAGGGGCACAGCCCTGAAAGATAGAGACCCGGCACGGTACCGCTAGACAGGGCGATAGAGCGCTGGCGGGTCTCTACGGCAGACAAGGTGTCGACAAAGTCAGTGAGGGTGAGGTCAGCGGGATGAAGACTAAGGAATTGATTGCGGGCGGTGCAAGGCGGTCAGAGAGGCGGGTGGCAAGCAGGTAGAGGGTAGCACAGATGGGGGGGCCGAAACACATGAAGTTGGGCCTCAGTGCAGGCAGCGTGCCAGGTCGTGTCTATCGTGCACAGGTGGGCGGCTAGGTCAGCGACAGTGGGAAAAGACGCAAGGCCAGGAAAGAGCATGGGCAGGATCAGGCGACCTACGGAGGCAGAGGGCGGGGTGGAATAGTGCGCAACAACAGCCTCTAGGAACTCCTGCGCAGTCCTAACTGACCTAAAGCGGGGGCGCTTGGACAGGGGAAGGGCGTGACTAATCGCAAGCTGGGCGACAGCGTCATGCGATAACCAGACAGCACGAGCAAGGGCAGCAGCTGCAGCGGACTCACGGTCAGTGGAGGTGGGGTCAGCAGGGAGGGCAGCAGGGGGGTCTGGGCAGGGGAGCGTACCGTCGATGTGGACAGCCAGGGAGTGGCCGTCCTGCCGCTGACCATTCAGGTGGCGCTGAAGGTCGACGAGCCACGAGTCGAAGTCAATCGGCTGCCCCTCCGCATCGAAACGCAGGACCGAGTCCGCCATCATGGTTGCAGCAGCAGGAGAAGGACAGTATGGGGCAGTAGAGGGCGGCGGAAAGCGATGATGTGCGGTGCAGTGTGGTACTGTGCAGTAGAGGGAGGTGCAGTACGGTAGTGTGGGGTGCAGTGCGGTGCAGTGCAGTGCAGAGCGGTGCGGAGCGGTTGAATGCAGTGCAAGCGGTGCAATGCGGTGCAGTGCGGTGTAGAGCGGTGCAAGGCGGTAGCGGGCGGTGCAGCGCAGTGCTGAGGGCCGAGGACGGCGGCGAGGCGGCTAGGAGACAGAGCCGTGGGCGGCAAGGCGACGTGGCCAGCCGGGGGACGGGGCCGATCGGGCGACGGGGCCGATATGGGCGGCGGGGCCAGCTAGGAGGCGGGGATATCGGGGCCGATGGGGCGGCGGGGCCTGCTAGGAGGCGGGACCGACAGGGCCGACGGGGGCGATGGGGCGGCGGGGCCAGCTAGGAGGCGGGGCCGACAGGGCTGATGGGGCGGCAGGGCCAGCTTAGGGGGCGGGGTCGACGGAGCCGACTGGGCCTATTGGGCGGCGGGGCCCGCTAGGAGGCGGGGCCGACGGGGCCGATTAGGCGGCGGGGTCAGCTAGGAGGCAGGGCCGACGAGGCCGATGGGGCGGCGGGGCCAGCTAGGAGGCAGGGCCGACGGGGCCGACTGGGCCGATGGGGCAGCAGGGCCAGCTTGGAGGCGGGTCGGACGTGGCCGATTAGGCGGCGGCATCAGCGAGGAGGCACGGCCGACGGGGCCGATGGGGTGGCGGGGCCAGCTAGGAGGCGGGGCCGACGGGGCCGACGGGGCCGACTGGACGGTGGGGCCTGCTAGGGGGCGGGACCGGCTAGGCGACGGGGCGTGCGGGGCGACGGGGCCAGCTAGGCGACGGGGCTGGCTAGGAGACGGGCCAGCACGTGCGGGGCGGCTAGGACCTAGGGCAGAAGCGCTAGGGGGGCGGGGGGGAGACCTACCTACTCATGATACCATGTCAAAGTGAGAAAGATTGACTAGAACAGGGCATACAGGGGTATATAGCCTAATGGGTTGTACTCCCTAAGGCACAACCCTTTATAATCTACTGTAACATACAATATATGTTTGTAGGGTATGTTTGACAAAAACCACCCCTGGTTTGGAGAGTCCAATATGCATTGCTGCCTACTAGGAATTACTGCATTCATGGTCTATATGTAAATCTTATATGTGACCTTCCCATCCTGAGCGTTTGTGTGGGGTCATGGAATGACCACTGACCACTTCGCATGGGACAGAACCAGAGCTGACGAGTACACTGTGTAAGACAACGTACACCTCCGAGTAAGGGAATGCCTATAGTGCATACACCGATACAAATATAACCGCCATAAATGTGGTACTTGATGCACGATAATCAATTCCGCTCATAATGCTCGCTTGCAAAGCATGGTCGTTGCTCATGTGTTACGGAAGGTCGAAGAAGCGGTGCTGCAGAGCGGAGTCTGCAGAGGGCCGTTTGCGGTAGTCCGGGTTCAGCATGGCCTGTATGGGAGAAGTGAAGAGAGAGCATACCACACGACGACAGGAACACGTGAGATGGCAGAAGTGAGGAGTGGAAGAGGGAATGCAGAGGCAGCTAAGGGACACTGCTTTTGAGTCAGACTAAAAAAAAGCAACATGTTCGATGGCAGAAGTAAGGAGTGGATGAGGGAATGCAGAGGCAGCTAAGGGACACTGCTTTTGAGTCCACTAGGAAAAAGCAACATGTTTGATGGCAGAAGTGAGGAGTGGAAGAGGGAATGCAGAGGCAGCTAAGGGACAGACAACCACCATAAACCTCACATGGGACACATGCCCTCATGACACATGCCCTCACGACACATGCCCTCATGACACACACCCTCCTGACACATGCCCTCATGACATGTGCCCCCATGACACGTGCCCCCATGACACGTGCCCTCATGACACATGCAGAGAACCCTCACAATGCATAAACAGCATGCCGTGTCAACCCACAGACCTCACTGCACATGCATCTCAAAACCCATACATTCACACCACATACACACCACGCCGTCACGTGCAGCAGCTCCCAGCCCGCCCCATCTCTCCAATCCCAACACGTGAGACCGCAATTTGTTAAGTGGCGCCTGCTGAGTCGACGCAGAACGCACCTGCAGCAGCTCCCAGCCCGCCCTATCTCTGCAATCCTCATGCCACGTGCACGAAGAGCCCTCACAACGCATTAACAGCATGCCAACTCAACCCACATACCTCACTGCACATGATTTTTTAGTCGACTAAAAAATCATGACACCGGCTGAAAGAGCCCTCACAATACATCAACAGCATGCCATTTCATCAACCCACATACCACACTGCACACGCACCTCACCTGCAGCCTGCAGCGCCTCCCAGCCCGCCCCATCCCTGCGATCCTCATGACACATGCAGCAAGAGCCCTCATCTGCACCTCACCCGCAGCTACTCACACGCATGAAACGCCCTCACCTGCAGCGACTCACATGCATGCGACGCCCTCACCTGCAGCAGCTCCCAGCCCGCCCCGTCTTTGCGATCCAAAAGCGCCACTGCATTCGCCCACCGGTCGTCGGCTGAGCAGTACCTGGATGAGCAATTGGCAAATAAAGCAGATAAAAGACATACAAAATTGGGGGTTCATTGAAGGACGGTACGGAGGCGGAGGGGGTAATTGGGGGAAGTAGGTTGGGTTGACTGTAACTGAGGGGATACGGTTGCAGTAGTAACACTACCCACTAAAAGCTGCACAAGAGCAAATAGAGCAAGCAGCGTATGGGGAGGCATACAATATGGCATGGAGGGTGACAAGGTGACAATAAAAACGAGAAGTTTGAGAGAAAGGAGAACGTTCGGTGCGTCCAAGAGGTTGCTCAGAGCCTTACTCTCGTGCTGCTTCCATGGTAGGAGAGAAAGTAATATAATTTTGTTGAGACGTCTCAAAACTGAAATGCTTAACCACGGAAAAATAAGAACGTTCGGTGTGTCCAAGAGAATGCTCAGAGTCTTACTCTCGTGCTGCTTGCATGTTCAGAGAGAAGGTGGTCTCCAGGAGCCTCTGAGAAAGAGAAGGGGGATAGCAAAGGAATAGGGAGGGCAGCGGGGGCAGTTAGAAAACGAGTGGGAGCCATGCGATTCACTCTCGTGCTGCTTCCATGTCAAGAGAGAAAGTGGTCTCCAGGAGCCTTTGAGAACGCGGAAGGTGGCGGAAGAGGGGAGGGGGGACAGCGGGAGTTGAGAAGACAGACAGCGGAGGCAGCAAAATACGCGGAAGGATGGACCTACACACACAGTCGCCCCACCCCCCAGCGCTGCACGGTACAGCCCAAACCTACAGCCCAAACCTACAGCCCAAACCTACAGCCCAACCCGGCACAGCACAGCACAGCACAGCACAATAACGCACAGATCTCAAGCCCAGCACAGAACACATACAGCCCAGAGCTCGTACCTGCAACGATGGGCCCAGAGCTCGTACCTGCAATGATGGGCCGTCGATGGCCCCCGGAGCACAAAGAGGCACAAACGCCATGTATGCCACCAGGAGACCTGCTGCATAGCTGGAGGGGGGGTGCAGGGCGAAGGGAAGTAGAGGTCATACGGTCAACTCAGAAAAGAGAGAAAGGCTCGAACGCCGTGTATGCTACCAGGAGACCTGCTACATAGCTGGAGATGGGGGATGAAAAAAGGGGAGCATGGAGGGGGAGAAATGAAGTTGCAAGCCGAGTCATGTGGAGCACGGAGAGGCACGAACGCCATGTATGCCACCCGGAGACCTGCTGCATAGCTGGAGGGGAGGTGGAGGGGGTGGAGAGTGCAGGGAGCAGGGGCCAGGGAGGAGGGGAGGGGGTTCGGGTGTCATTAAGTCACTGGAGCACGGAGAGGCACGAACGCCATGTATGCTACCAGGAGATCTGCTGCATAGCTGACGAGGGGAGGTGGAGGGACGTGGTAAGGAGAAGCAGAGGGGCAAAAAGGTCACAAAAACACCCTACTTTCCCCCCTCCATTCCCCTTCCCCTCGAGACCCCCCTCTCACGCTCCACATGTCATCTGCGAGGCCAAAGGAGCGGTGCTCGAGAAAGGACTTGACCCTGGCAGTGTTATGCGGCCCCTCAGGACACCCTGCTTGCCCCCCCCCGTTTCCCCCCCGCCCCCTCCATCACCCTCCCACGCTCACATGTCATCATCGAGGCCGAAGGAGCGGCACTCGAGGAAGGAGTTGACCTATTTGCCTCCCTCCGTTCCCCTTCCCTTCACACCCGCCTCCCACGCTAACATGTCATCAGCAAGACCAAAGGAGCGGCGCTCGAGGAAAGACTTGGACCTGGCAGTGTTATGAGGCGCCTCCAAACACCCTGCTTGCCCCCCTCCCGACCCCTCCTGCGCTCACATGTCATCGGCAAGACCAAAGGAGCGGCGCTCGAGGAAAGACTTGGCCCCAGAAGTGGCGGCGCGGCGCCACAGGCTGTCCTTGACCTCGTCCACAGCGTCGAAGGAGCGGCCCACGTCTGCTGATAGCACTGCCGGGTTGCTGTGAGGAAGGGAGGAAGCGGGTGGGAGGGTGTTGCTTGAGTCGTCTAAATGCTGTGGCAGTCATAAGGAGCCACACACTGTCCTGGACCTCGTCTCCATGGTATCGAAGGAGCGGCCCACGTCCGCTGACAGAACTGAGGGGTGGCTGCAGGAGAGTGGGGGCTGGGATTGTCGGATTACGCCATTAGGGGTTTGCATATTGGGGAAGGGAACGGGTTGTGCGTTAGAGCAACGAGCCAGTGCTGGCAGCTTGAGAAGAGGATGCTGCTGAAAAGGAACCCCAGGAGGAAGAGAGCTTGAGAAGGATTCACGCCAAGACCTGAGAATGTTGGCTCGAGAGTCAAGCCAAAGATGCCAGAAGAAGCAAAGTTGCCTGTGCTGCCAGCTTGAGAAGGTGGTGCTACTGTTGGATTGACGCCATAAGTGAGAATGTCGGGGTGACTCTGGAGCCAACTTTGGTATATCCTATGGCCAGCGTGTACACCATAGCAGATGCGATGTATACCAGAATGGAAAACACATGCACACACACCTGATGTCGATGGCAAACGCAAAGTCTCTGAGGCGTGGAACCAGGAAGCGAACGTCCATCTCGTTGATGGTGCTGGCATGGGGAAGGGAGAGCGAAGAGGAAAGAGGACACGGGGTATGAGGGACGCGGTGAGTGAGGAACCAGGAAACGAACATCCACCTCGTTGACAGTGTTGGGGACGAGAACAAGGGAGGAGGATGAAAAACGGGAGCATACAGACGGTTGGAAGCACGGGTAGGGGCATACAGACGGTTGGATGCACAGTGCAACGAGAGAGAAGCGTGGAAAGGAAAAAGCAGGATCTCATTTGCTTGGAATCAGTCTGTAGGTAACTAGGAATGTGGGTTGTGGATAAGTGAGCAAAGGGTGACATCTCACTTGAGGACAACCGATGCCGGCCCAATGGATTGGTGCAGGCGGCCTTTGGAGTGCATAAAGGAAAGCCCCTGGAGGAACCCTCTCAGAAGCTTCCGGATGAAGACCTCCCGCCGAAACAGAGGCCTGGCAGGGTCGAACCTGTCCCAGACCTCGAAGTCCCCCAGGGCCCGAGCCTCAGCAGTAGCTTCGGAAGCAGCCTTAGAGTAGTCTGCTGCAGTGATGTAGCCATTGTCCCGCATCACTAACCACTGCTCTGGTGGGGATGGGTGGTGGGGATGGGTGGTAGAGCTCTATCGATCACTCGGCCCTGCTGTGGTGACGAAGCCATTATCCCGTCGAGCGCTGCTGTCTCGCTTGAGCGCTCCCATCACACTAGAGCGATAGACAGGGGCGACGGGGGCGTCTTCGAAAGACGCCGAAGACGGGAGGTGTCTTCGAAAGTCGCCGAAGACGGGGGCGTCTTCGGAGGACGCCGAAGTCGGGGGGCGTCTTCGGAAGACGCCGAAGACGGGGGGCGCCCTCGGAAGACGCCGAGGTCGGGGGCTTCATCGGAAGACACCGAAGTTGGGGGCGTGTTCGAAAGACTCGTCTTCGGACAACGCCTAAGACGGGGGCGTCTTTGGAAGACGTCGAAGACGAAGGCGTCTTCGGAAGACGCCAAAGACGGGGGCGTCTTCGGAAGATGCCGAAGTCGGGGGCGTGTTCGAAAGACTCGTCTTCGGAAGACGCCGAAGACGGGGGCGTCTTCAGAGGACACCGAAGATAGGGGCGTCTTCGAAGGACGCTGAAGTTGAGGGGCGTCTTCGGCAAGTCTTCGGAAAACGCCGAGGTTGGGGGCGTCTTTGGAAGTCGTCGAAGACAGGGGGCGCCTTCGGATGACCCCGAATATGGGGGCGTCTTCGGAAGACGACGAAGACGGGGGCGTCTTTGGAAGACGCCGAAGTCAGGGGCTTTGTGGAAGACATCGAAGACGGGGGCGTCTTCGGAAGATGCCGAAGGCAGGGGCGTCTCCCAAAGACATCGAAGATGGGGGCGTCATCGGAAGGCGCCGAAGACGGGGGCGTCGTCGGAAGATGCCGAAGACCGGGCAGTCTTCGGAAGACGCCGAAGACGGGGGCGTCTTCGAAAGACGTCAAAGCCGGGGGCGTCTTCCGAAGTCGCCAACGACGGAGGGCGTTTTCGGAAGACGCTGACGACGGGGGGCGTCTTCGGAAGACGCTCAAGACAGGGGCGTCTTTGGAAGACGCTGAAGACAGGTGCGTCTTTGGAAGACGCCGAAGACGGGGGCGTCTACGGAAGACGCCGAAGACGGGTGCCTCTTCGGAAGTCACCGACGACCGGGGGCGTCTTCGGAAGACGCCGAAGAAGGGGGCGTCTTTGGAAGACGCCGAAGACGGGGGCGTCTTCCGAAGACGCCGAAGACGGGGGCGTCTTCCGAAGATGCCGAAGACGCCAAAGACTGGAGCGTCTTCCGAAAACTCCGCAAACGGGGGCGTCTCCGGAAGTTCCGAAGACGGGGGCGTCTTTGGAAGACGCCGAAGTCGGGGGCGTCTTCGGATGACGCCGGAGACGGGGGCGTCTTCCGAAGGCGCCGTACTCGGGGGCGTCTTCGGATGACGCCAAAGACGCGGGCGTCTTCGGAAGACGCCGAAGTCGAGGCGTGTTCGGAAGACGCCGAATACAGGGGCACCTTCGTAAGACGCCAAATACGGGGGCGTCTTTGGAAGACGCCGAATATGGGGGCGTCTTCCGCGAAACGGGGGCGTTTTTCGAAGACGCTGAAGACGGGGGCGTCTTCGGAAGAAGCCGCAGACGAGAGCGTCTTCCGAAGACGCCGAAGACGGGGGCGTCTTCCGAAGATGCCAAAGACGGGGGCGTCTTCGTAAGACGCCGAAGTCGGGGGCGCCTTCAGAAGACGCCGAGGTCGGGGGCGTGTTCGAAAGACTCGTCGCTGAAGACGGAGGCGTCTTCAGAAGACGCCGAAGACAGGGGGCGCCTCCAAAATTCGCCGAAGAGGGGGGCGTCTTCGGAAGACGCCGAAGACGGGGGCTTGGGAGACACCGAAGTAGGGGGCGTCTTCGGTAGACGTTGAAGTCGGGGGCGTCTTCGGAAAACGCCGTAGACGGGGGCGTCTTCGGAAGACGCCGAAGACGGGGGAGTCTTCCGAAGACGCCGAAGACTGGGGCGTCTTCCGAAGACGCCGAAGACCGGGGGCCCCTTCGGAAGTCGCTGAAGACGGGGGCGTCTTCTTCGGAGGACATCGAAGACGTGGGCGTCTTTGGAGGATGCCGAAGTCGGGGGCCGTCTTTGGAAGACGCCGAAGACGGGGGGCGTCTTTGGAAGACGCCGAGGTCGGGGGCGTCTTCGGAAGACCGGAAGTCGGGGGCGTCTTCGGAAGACGCCGAAGATGGGGGCCTTGGGAGACACCGAAGAAGGGGGCGTCTTCGGAAAAAGCCGAAGACGGGGACGTCTTCAGAAGACGCCGACGGCAGGGCGTCTTCGGAAGACGCTGAAGACGGGGGCGTCTTCAGGAAGTCGCCGAAGACGGGGGCGTCTTCGGAGGACGCCGAAGACTGATGGTTGCATAGCGTGGCTAACCATGCGCTGATGAGGATGGGCGGTGGCAGTGGATGGCAGGGATTGCATGGATGGGATGGGACACACGAGAGCAGCAAGATCATGACAATGGGATGAAGAAATAGGGGGGAATCCAGCAAGGGAGTATGCAAGTCATCCAGCAGCACCCACCTTCTCTCCTGTGCTGGTTTCAAAGCCCCCCAGCAGCACAAGCACGTTGCTTGACACATCCACAGCATCGTCTTGCGCCTCATCCTAAGTGCGAACAAGGCAAACGAGGGAAATTCGCAAAAAATAATAATATGGTAAAAACGGAACTTGCGTCTTCACGGTTGTGCGGGCATGCGTTGAAATCCATTGATGCATGCCCGCCTGACACGGTATGCACCCATGCCCGGACACTCACATCTACTCACATCCCATGGTCCCTAAGCAGTCACGGCAACGAACCCCCATACAGTAACAGCTACGAACCCCTATACAGTCACAGCTACGAGCCCCCATACAGTCACACCTACGAGCCCCCATACAGTCACAGCTACGAACCCCCCTCAATTGCAGACCCACAGGCGATAAACCCACTGATCCCCAAAAATTCACAGCAGGACACATGAAACCCCCCCACACGAACCGGCGGCTGCTGCAGGGAGACATGTATTGCAAGCTCAATGGCTGGCCGCCAGCCGTGGCGACCACACACATAGAGGCACAATGCACCACTTGCACACACACCCCCCTCCTCCCCCTCTCTCCGCAGCACCTCTTCCCCCCAACCCCCCCCTTACCCAAGCTTTCCCCACCCGCCAACACAGGCTAACCTGGGCCTGCTGCAGCGCGACATGTGTCACGAGCTCATTGGCCGCCATGGCGTCCACATCCACAGCCTTGGCAGCTGCCTCCCTGCCTGGATACGCCTTCAGCAGCACCCGCGTGCCCAAGCGCTCCCCTGGGGTCACCATGCGTCCCCGATACATTCTGATGACAGCAAATGGGAGAGGAGGGGAGGGAAGGGGAGGGGAGAGACGGAGAGGGGAGGGGAGGGGGAGAAAGAGGGGCGTTACATCCATGGCCTTGGCGGCTGCCTCCCTGCCTGGATACGCCTTCAGCAGCACCCGCGGGCCTAGCCGCTCCCCCGAGGTCACCATGCGCCCCCGATACATTCTGACGGCAGAATGCAATGGGGTGGAATGGGATCACTATGCGGCGGCGGTACATTCTGGGAGCAAAAGTTGCGAGGGGAAAAGGGAGAAAAGGGAGAAAAAGGGGCCCTGGAGGCTGTCAGAGGAGGACTCTGGCGGTCAGAGTTATATGGGGTGATGCGGGTGATATGGGGTGATGTGGGTGATATGGGTGATACGGGGTGATATGGGGTGATGGGGGGTGATATGGGGTGATACGGGGTGATACGGGGTGATGCCGATAATATTGGGTGATATGGTGATATGGTGATATTGGGTGATATGGGTGATATGGTGATATTGGGTGATATGGGTGACATGGTGGTATTGGGTGATATGATATTGGGTGATATGGTGATATTGGGTGATATGGGTGATGTGATATTGGGTGATATGGGGAGAGAGGAGGCCTCTGGCGGTCAGAGTCCATTTAAACACTCCGAACTACATAGAACGGTTTCCCTAATTTCACCAGGCCTGATCCTGACCTGATACTGACCTGATACTGACCTGATACTGACCTGATACTGACCTGATACTGACCTGATACTGACCTGATACTGACCTGATACTGACCTGATACTGACCTGATCCTGACCTGATACTGACCTGATACTGACCTGATCCTGACCTGATACTGACCTGATCCTGACCTGATACTGACCTGATACTGACCTGATACTGACCTGATCCTGACCTGATACTGACCTGATACTGACCTGATACTGACCTGATCCTGACCTGATCCTGACCTGATCCTGACCTGATCCTGACCTGATACTGACCTGATACTGACCTGATCCTGACCTGATACTGACCTGATCCTGACCTGATACTGACCTGATCCTGACCTGATCCTGACCTGATACTGACCTGATACTGACCTGATCCTGACCTGATACTGACCTGATCCTGACCTGATACTGACCTGATACTGACCTGATACTGACCTGATCCTGACCTGATCCTGACCTGATCCTGACCTGATACTGACCTGATCCTGACCTGATACTGACCTGATCCTGACCTGATACTGACCTGATACTGACCTGATACTGACCTGATCCTGACCTGATCCTGACCTGATACTGACCTGATCCTGACCTGATACTGACCTGATCCTGACCTGATCCTGACCTGATACTGACCTGATACTGACCTGATCCTGACCTGATCCTGACCTGATACTGACCTGATACTGACCTGATCCTGACCTGATCCTGACCTGATACTGACCTGATACTGACCTGATCCTGACCTGATACTGACCTGATCCTGACCTGATACTGACCTGATCCTGACCTGATACTGACCTGATCCTGACCTGATCCTGACCTGATCCTGACCTGATACTGACCTGATACTGACCTGATACTGACCTGATCCTGACCTGATACTGACCTGATACTGACCTGATCCTGACCTGATACTGACCTGATACTGACCTGATACTGACCTGATCCTGACCTGATCCTGACCTGATACTGACCTGATCCTGACCTGATACTGACCTGATCCTGACCTGATACTGACCTGATACTGACCTGATACTGACCTGATCCTGACCTGATACTGACCTGATACTGACCTGATCCTGACCTGATACTGACCTGATCCTGACCTGATCCTGACCTGATACTGACCTGATACTGACCTGATCCTGACCTGATCCTGACCTGATACTGACCTGATCCTGACCTGATCCTGACCTGATACTGACCTGATACTGACCTGATCCTGACCTGATACTGACCTGATCCTGACCTGATACTGACCTGATACTGACCTGATACTGACCTGATCCTGACCTGATACTGACCTGATCCTGACCTGATCCTGACCTGATACTGACCTGATCCTGACCTGATACTGACCTGATACTGACCTGATCCTGACCTGATCCTGACCTGATCCTGACCTGATCCTGACCTGATCCTGACCTGATCCTGACCTGATCCTGACCTGATACTGACCTGATACTGACCTGATCCTGACCTGATACTGACCTGATCCTGACCTGATCCTGACCTGATACTGACCTGATCCTGACGTTATCCTGACCTGATCCTGACCTGATACTGACCTGATACTGACCTGATCCTGACCTGATCCTGACCTGATCCTGACCTGATCCTGACCTGATCCTGACCTGATCCTGACCTGATACTGACCTGATACTGACCTGATCCTGACCTGATACTGACCTGATCCTGACCTGATCCTGACCTGATACTGACCTGATCCTGACGTTATCCTGACCTGATCCTTACTTGATCCTGACCTGACCCTTACCTGATCTGCACGCCTCCCCGGCCGACCTCCTGCCCGCCTCCCGCCAGCCTGTTGATATCCCTCTCGCTCAGCCCTGCTGCCGTGTCCTCGCGGGAGCCCGGCCACGTCAGCGATGACAGTGCTGACGTGGATGAGGACGACCCTGGCGGCATGGAGTAGCTGGAAGGGAGGGGATGCGGGTCGAGAGATGCGCGGGGAGAGCTGAGTAGGGGAAGGGGAATTGTGCACGTACATAGATAGGAGAGGAATATGTAGACAGTGAAGGCGAATGTAGATAGGAGAGGAATATGGCTCAGAGAAAAGGGTGATGTGAAGCTGACACGACATTCCGTGACCTGTTCTTCAGTTCGTTCACTGCTGAAACCTGCCGAACTGTTGAGGTCATCAAGGGAGACGTAGATATGGATAGTTACAGAGCTTACGGCGTGTATCAAGTGTAAGAAAAACGACGTCACCTGACGTCGCAACGCAGTACAGTACGGTTCTTTTTTAATCTAGAAGCTTCGTGTGCGTTCGGAGGCGGTTACTCGACGTCACAAGGTTGACGTCGTGCCATTCAGCTACGTGATACACCCCCTTAGCTAAATAACCGTAGTTCTCCACCGAAATAGGGCTAAAACTCGCCTAGATAGCAGTAGATCTGCTCATCTGGCGACGAGAGGTCACCTGAGTAGCTGCAGAGCTCACCTGGACACGCTCATGAAGTCGAGGGTGCCAAGCAGCCGCTCCACTGAGAAATCGTCAGCCGAAAATTGCACTATAGGGTCCACGGATTCCGCTCGCACTCCGATTGCTCCACTACCTCCCCTACCGCCGCTAGTTCCGCTGATTCTCCTTCCTGAATACTCGGGGTCGCCTAATTCCACCACCGCACGACCTGGTTCACTGACTCCTTGAGAAAAATTATTCCCATGCCTGCTCAGAAATGCGCTCGTGAGGCGGAGAGAGCGTCGATGAATGGGGACCGATGTTGCGTGTGATGTGGCGTGCTGGCTGGCAATGTCGTCCCCGCAGGGTCGCCGTGACACGCGGATGCGGTTCGAGACCGAAGGCTGGAGCGTCAGAGCTGGTGAAAGAGCCATCTGGTGGTGAGAAACTACACTGCTGGTTTACTGTCAGTCGTTCGAGACTTGACCGCAACAGGTCGAGCACTGATGAAGTAAACGAAGGAAACTAGGGTGTGAAAGACGGCGGGATTCCCTTGGCTCTTCATGCATAGTAAATCCGGAATTCAGAACTCTTCAGAATAATGGCCAATGACGGATAAAAGGATTCTGTGAAATGGCGAAGTGAAAGAGAAGGCAAATTGGGAAATGTGGAATTGGGAGGTTGTCAGTGTGCAGGCGAATTCGCCTTGGGAACTCCGACTGGGCCAAGACAAGCTGCACGCCAAATGCCAGTCTGGGAGTGATCGGGCAGATCCACGCACCGGACCCTTATTCGCTGGTTCGGCGCATCTGAGATTCAGCCACGCAAGCAGGCAAGGGGAACTCTCTCCAGACCAGAGCTATTCATCCTTTCACAGTAACAACACCAAGTCGAAATTCGCCTGCACAAAACAATATGTTACGTCCATAGGAACTTTTCCTAAAGTAGAGAATCACTCGTTGGTGAGTATGGCGTACAGTTTCGTTGACTCGCTGTGACTCGGCAATTTCCAGCACTCACCGAATCGTTAGAGTCACCAAGCTTCCACAGCCGTCCGATTCAGCTTCTCTTTCAAAACATGTCGTGTTGCGTGCGCCATACGCCGGTTGTAGATCGAAGCGCGGAATGACAGTTATCACTGTAGAGAGTGAGTGAGGGAGCGAAGGTGCTCAGACGGGATGCAAGCATAAAGGTGCAAAGCAAACCTGCCGAAATGCAGCTTCTGTTGTCGCCGCACACACACCAGCAGCAGAACAAAGCACCATGCAAGTGGCTCAACGCACTACAGTTTGATACATTATACCCACGACCTCATCCACGTCAATCAAAATAGAACGCGCGCCGACCGCAACCAACCACCCACGCATCGATCGAGAGTCGAGACTAGTTCAGCTTAGACCCTTCGCGGTACGGTGTCCGCTCCATAACTGTTGTCGATGTGCGCGCTAGGTGCGTTCGAGCTCTAGACGACACTAGTCAGTACGTCTAAGCCAAGCAACGAGGCTCGGCAGTACCAGTCAGTGCCTGCCAGCTGTCCTCACGAGTCACGCAGCCTTGGGTCTTTCAGAGGCCCGTGTCGCTCAGAAGCCCCGTGCGCTCAGGCCTGCGATTCTAACGCGATCGAAATCATTGACTGTAACGTTATGACTTTTGAGTCGACTCAAATGTAACGTTACCTGAGATGTGAACGTGCAATTCCGCTGCGCCCCTCTGGTAACCTCGTTTTGACCCAGTGGGTAGCGAGGCGTTATATTTACAACATCGAAATCACCGATATCCTCTTTTTTTTCTTTTTCTTTTTTTCCACGGGACCGCCGTTACACGCAGATCGCCCCGTGCGTTAGGTCGCCCCGGTCCTCAGCGTCACTACGTCACGGACTAGGTCCCGCTTGTTCTGAGAAATTATCGACAGTTCGCATAGCTCCGCCAATCTCGCGGCAATGGCGGTTCTGCGGAAGACTAGTATTTCCCTTCTCCCCCGCGTTTCTCTCGCCGCACCCGTCGCGCTGTTGCTGCTACTCTCTTCCGCGCTGACAGCCTCTGCACAGCCTTGGCGGAAGCCTTCCGCCAACGGGCAGGCGGGAGCCACGCGCGCGGCCGTTACTATCCACAAGCTGGCGGAGCGGCTGCTGTACGCGGGCACGGGGAAGCTTGCGCCTTTGCGGAGAGGCGCAGGCGCTGCTGCGGCGGAAATTTCTCACTCCGCCGAGTCCGCCGACAGCATTGGTGTCGCGAAAAATGCTGCATCTGCGGAGTCCGCGGATCCCCTAGCGTGGCCTTCGGACCTTCCGCGTGACGCTACCCCGCAGGCCACCCGCGGGATCGACTCGCCGCGCGCGAATCATCACAACACGGCCGCAGCGGGCGGCGGTTTAGCGACTGGCGCGCGGCGCAGGATGCCGCGGAATCCCGCCGTGCGGCGGATATGGGCGGAGAAATGGCGCAAGGAGGGGGCAGGGCAGCAACAGGGGGAGGTCAGCAAGCAGCAGGCAAACGAGCGCAACAGGACAAGATCGGCAGCGGCGGCGGCAGCGGCGGAGGCGGAGTTAAAGAGGGTGGTAGTGAGGAAAGCGGCGGTGGGGTTTCCTGGGATCAACCAGAAGACGCTCGTTACGAGCGGCTCACCGCCCAAATACAACCGAAGCATGGTGAGTGCTGCCGCCCAAATACGACAGAAGCATGGTGAGTGCTGCCGCCCAAACACAGCAGAATCCCTTTTGAGGCGTCCCAATAGTCGCCCTTCCCCACTTCCGCTTCCCACCTCTCCCTCTTGCCCCTCTCACGCTCACCCCCTCTCTCCCCATACGCGCTGCCTGTGGCCATATGCGCGTGGGGGAAGGGCGTCCTTTGAGGCGCCTCAAGCACCCCTCGTCTCCTTCTCTCCGTCCTCACCTCCCTCCCTCCCACCTTCTCCCCCCCCCCCCTCCTCCAACCCCCCACCCCCACGCCTGCAGATCCGAGTGACACCACCGGATGTGGTCATGTGTGTGGGGAACGGATTCATCCTCCATACAGTCAACTCCGGTACGCGTCCTTCGTGTTTTCATCCTTGCCTAATGTATCCCCCTCCCCCTCCTCCCCCTCCTCCCCCTTCTCCCCCCTCCCCCGATTGCTTCCCCAACCTTAACCCAAATCCCCCCCCATTCGCCCCCTATCCAGTTTTGAGGCGCCTCAAAACGAGACCTAAACCAAATCCCCCCCATTCATCTATCCTCCCCTTCTTCTCCCCTTGTTTCCCCACCAGCCATGGTAGTGTATAACACCAAGGGGCGGCAGCTGACTGCAATCACTCCGCATCACGAGGTGGGGGGGGGGGGGGGGGGGGGGGGGGAGGGGGAAAAGGGGGGGAAAGGGAGGGGGGGAGGGGGGAAAGGGGGGGAAAGGGGAGTGGGGGGGGAGGAGGGAGAGTGTGAGGGGATAAGGGGAAACAGTGGGCAGCACACGTCACCAAGGGGCGGCAACCGACTGCCATCACTCTGCAGCGGGGGGGGAAGGAAGGGGGCGGAGAGAGTGTGTGTGGGGGGGTGGTGAATAGGTGAGTCCGGAGGAAATTAACGTGTGCTATCAGCTGTGACAAGGGTGGGTTCCTTGGAGCGCTTTCACCTCCCCCATAACACAACCCCCCTCTGCCTATTCCCCCCTTGCCAATCCCCCCCCGCCCATTCCCCCCCTGCCCAACCCCCCGTGCTTTGCCCCCCCATGCCTACTCCCCATTCTTTTCCAAGCTACAGTGGAGTCATTTTTGAGAATGAATCCCCGTGGAATTCTCAAAAACAACCCCCCGTGCTTTGCCCCCCCATGCCTACTCCCCATCCTCCCCCAAGCCCCCTCCCCGCCCCAACACCCCCCCCACCCCCTCCCCCCACACGGCCGCCCCCCCCAAACCCCCCACCCCCCCCCCCGCCCCTCCCCAGTTCTTCAACGCACTGCCATACATGACGTGGAAGGGGTCCATTGAGGCGTCCATCAGGGGCGACAGCATCGGCGACATGACGTGCGTGTATGACCGCAGGGCCAAGCGCTTCTACCTCGCCACATACTGGACTGTGAGTGCTGCTGGGTGCTGTGTGGTGTTGCTGGGTGCAGTGGAGTGGCAAGTGCTGAGAGTTGGGACAAGACCAGAGACATGACACGCGTCTATGGCCGCGAGGCCTGGCGCTTCTACCTCGCTACCTTCTGGACTGTGAGTGCTGCTCGGTGGCGATGGGTGGTGATGGGTTCTGTGGTGTGGCAAGCTGAGTGTGGGCCCACCTGTTGGTACTGTGAGTGTGGGGTTGGAGTGTGCGGCCGTTTTATGGCGATCTTCCCACTCGCCTGCTTTTGCCACTCACTAAACTCTCCTCCCCCCCCTCACCCCCCCACTCCGTCCGTGGACCTTCCCCTCCCTATTCTCCCACCCTTCCCCTCCCCACTCCCCCCGTTCAACTTCCCCTCCCCTCTCCCCCCCCCCCCCCTCTCCCTTCTCCCAATCCCCCTCCCTCCCCAGTCAGGTGGCAGTAAGAATGCGTATGACAGGTTCGGCCAAACAAGGCGCCGGGGGGGAGGCGAGACGGTTGGGTCCGGGCTGCTGGTGGCTGCCTCTACCACCTCCAACCCTACCCAACCGTGGAACCTCTTCTTCATCCCTGCATCGTATGAACGTTACACTATCCCTTTTCTGAAGGATATATACATATATGTGAATGTAGTTCATAATATATGTTATGTTTGTCATGGCATACCATCTGCCCCTATTTTCAGCTTCTTCCTCATTCCCTGTCTGTCCTCACGCCCTATTCCATGGTATGGTGTGGTATGGCATGGTGTGGTGGCGTGGCATGGTGTGGTGGCTTGGCATGGCGTGGCATGACGTGGCATTGCCTTGCATGGCATGGCGCAGCAACGATGGGAAGAACTCGAACGCGGATTTTCGCCCTCCCCTCAACCTCCCAACTCAGGGACTGGTCACTTTCAGTGAGTCGGCCTTTCAGTGAGTCGGCCTTTCAGTGAGTCGGCCTTTCAGTGAGTCGGCCTTTCAGTGAGTCGGCCTTTCAGTGAGTCGGCCTTTCAGTGAGTCGGCCTTTCAGTGAGTCGGCCTTTCAGTGAGTCGGCCTTTCAGTGAGTCGGCCTTTCAGTGAGTCGGCCTTTCAGTGAGTCGGCCTTTCAGTGAGTCGGCCTTTCAGTGAGTCGGCCTTTCAGTGAGTCGGCCTTTCAGTGAGTCGGCCTTTCAGTGAGTCGGCCTTTCAGTGAGTCGGCCTTTCAGTGAGTCGCCTTTCAGTGAGTCGGCCTTTCAGTGAGTCGGCCTTTCAGTGAGTCGGCCTTTCAGTGAGTCGGCCTTTCAGTGAGTCGGCCTTTCAGTGAGTCGGCCTTTCAGTGAGTCGGCCTTTCAGTGAGTCGGCCTTTCAGTGAGTCGGCCTTTCAGTGAGTCGGCCTTTCAGTGAGTCGGCCTTTCAGTGAGTCGGCCTTTCAGTGAGTCGGCCTTTCAGTGAGTCGGCCTTTCAGTGAGTCGGCCTTTCAGTGAGTCGGCCTTTCAGTGAGTCGGCCTTTCAGTGAGTCGGCCTTTCAGTGAGTCGGCCTTTCAGTGAGTCGGCCTTTCAGTGAGTCGGCCTTTCAGTGAGTCGGCCTTTCAGTGAGTCGGCCTTTCAGTGAGTCGGCCTTTCAGTGAGTCG